CCAACGCCCCTGGAGCCTGCCCCCCCCCGCCGAGCGCCGGGCCGCGCCGCCAGAGCGCCCCCCGCCCCCGCAGAATGCCGCGCCGCGCTCCCCCCGCCGCCCCTTACCAGGTGCCGCCCCAAGCATGTGCTTGGGTGCCTGGTGCCTGGAGCCGGCCCTGCTTGACACCGGCCTCTGCCCACCTCTGTGCAGAAGATCAGGAGGCAGCTCCCAGTCCTGAGTAGTTTGGCCAATGGCGCTCTATTGAACAATCCCAATCTTTTCAGTCTCTCTTCAAATGAGTTTTTCCACATCCCTAAATCGCCTCTAATTTTGCAGTATTCTTTTTTGAGGTGGGGTGATCAGAACAGCACACAGTATTCTAAATGAGGGTGTACCATTGATTTATATGATGACATTATAATATATTTTCCCTGTTGTTCTTCATCCCATTTTTTATGCATATAACAGCTTGTTAACTTTTTTGACTACAACTGCACATTGAGCAGAGGTTTTCGTTTAGCTGTCCACAATGATTACCAGGTCCTTTTCCTTAGTTAATCCAGTTAAAAGAGAACTGAACAAGAGTAGGCATAGTTCATGTTTTTGCCTCCAATGTACATTACTTCACAATTTGTTTTAGTTGTAGTAATTTTAGGTGGTGTTGTAACTACAGGAGTGAAAAGTGTCAGACAGAAATAGTTTTCAACTGATTTCTTTCCTTGGCCTCCCCCTAGGGTGACCAGACAGCAAGTGTGAAAAATCGGGACGGGAGTGGGGGGTAATAGGAGCCTATACAAGAAAAAGACCCAAATATCGGGACTGTCCCTATAAAATCGGGACATCTGGTCACCCTACCTCCCCCATCCCCAAAGAGAGTGCCCTGCTGTGATATCAGTTTCCTCATCTTCCCTCCCCCCTTCAAGAAAATCTATTCCACAAATGAAACTGTTCACTACTTCATCTTTCCTTACAATTTAGGGATTATCCCCCCTCCCACCAATCTGTCAGACTAGCAGGGTTTCTGCATACAAGAGTAGTCAGTGGATTAAAAAAAAAAAGTCACTGCCTTAAAGAATGAAGTGCTGCTTCTAGACAGCAACACCAGCAATCTTTCTTTGAATGAGTGTTAGTGTGGCATGGGAGTGTAATTTAATATACATCATACCGCAGCGAGCAAAATAAAACTTCTATTCGTTGGATTATTCTTGGTAATATAAATGGCGAAATGCAGTTGAATACAGTACTAACCTACCATTCTCACTGAAGTGATGGCATTGGGGACACAGAACTATAAAACTATTAGCTTAATCATATAATTCTTAACCCATAACTAGTTTTCCCACATTTATTCCAACCCCAGTTCTGAGGGTATGCTTCTAAAGTAAAAGCTAGTAAATCTGAGATAAAGGGGAGAGGATATGTTGGAATTGGACTCCATTGGTAGAAGTCATTTAGATGTGCTAGCTTGGCCTTCAAGGAATTGTTCCACCCAGAAAATTGGATATTTGTTATTTCTACAGACCTGGAGCTTTTCCATTGCCATGACTTCCTTTTCCTCCAAAAAAGCTCATCTGCATCTATATATAGGTCATGGTATTCTGGTGGCCATAACTAAGTGAATTCAGAGCTCTCTAAATACTTGTATTGCAAGTATATTTTTAATATAAAGTCAGACTCACATTCCCTACAGTACTCTATTGCTTCCCTTAAAGTGTGTCTCTGTCCTGCTGAAACTACAGGGGAACTTTTTTTCTTAAATAGGTGTTTATTAAGTAGGGTACCTGAGAACAGAAACACAGAGATGCTAAATAGTTCATCATATTAAATTGCAAAAGCTTCACTTTGTGTTGCTGCATTGTGGTTATTACGGTTTCAAAAGAGGCTGCACAGTGAAACACACAAAACCTATCAACAATTACTAACCAGTTTAAAAGCTTACATATAACTTTGCTGCATAACCTTTATATATGAGCAATTTGAATAAGTCAAAATGCTTTAAAATACAGATAGGTGTTACAACTCCAGTAAAAAAGCAAGTGTCAAATTACTCATCTGGAAACAAAAATGCTGACTGGCCTATCTGTTCCATGGGGGAAAGTTGTGGTCAGATAAGTGGCATGTACTAGAGCAGGGGTGGGCAAACTACGGGCTGGGGGCCGCATCTGGCCCTTCAGACATTTAATCTGGCCGTCAAGCTCCCGCCAGGGAGTGGGGTCACGGGCTTGCCGGCTTGCCCTGCTCTGCGTGTGCTGTGGCTCCCGGAAGCAGTGGCATGTCCCCCCTCTAGCCGCGCCTCCGCATAGGAGCCAGAGGGGGGACATGCCACTGCTTCCAGGAGCTGCTTGAGGTAAACGCTGCCCAGATCCTTCACCCTTGACCCCCTCCTGTGCCCCAACTCCCTGACCCAGCCCTGATTCCCTTCCCGCTGTCTGAACCCCTCAGTCCCAGCCCAGAGCACTCTCCTGCACTCTCAACCCTCATGCTCAGCCCCATCTCAGA